GGGTACAGAAATCAACCAGTCAATCAACCCGGGCATACCCAGCAGTCCAATCACATAATCCCCGATTAATCTGTGCTAGTCCAATAATTATTTCTAATAATCCCACTAAATTCCTTAGACTTAATTTCCAACGATCGATCCTCAATCCAATCCGAATTACACACCGGTACTACTTAACCCAGTCCAGACTACACCGATAATACCTAAGCCAACATGCCGAACACAATCATTCACCAAATCAACGAATTCAACGCATCCTTGGCACATTCAATATATTTCCACTTTGGTTCAACGAATCCCACATTCATTCGCACGTTCATTCCAAGGTAGTTCAATGCATTAAAGGCCTACCCTGGGCAAATCCATCTCAATAGTTGTTCTCACCACTTCGGGGTCATTCAATAGGATTTATACACGTCCTAATCATCCCCTAAAAATGCCTAAATTCTTGTCATTAGTCCATTATTCTTAGAATATTCAACTTGGGCACAAATTAGGCATTTTCGGTACTGAATGAACAGTACCAGGAAAAATTAACATTTAGGCACTAAACCACCTTTAAACCATCTCATTAAGGCCTAATCACCTACCCCAAACATCCAACCACCAAATACATATAATTAAGCCTCAAATGAGCTTAATTAACACTTGAATTGTCTAATTTCAAGCCTTGAATCATTGAATTCAATTAGTGCAAAACTTAGACAAATATGCACATTTTCGGTACTTTGTGAACAGTACCAGAACATGGGCTGTTTTGAACACTAATCCACACTCAAATAACCTCATTAAGCCCTAATGACCTATCATAATCATCCTACACCCAAATAAACATCATTAGGTCCTAAATGAGCTTAATTAACCCCTAATTACCCCCTAAGAACACAATTAGACTAATTAAGGGTTTAGGGGTTTATACTCGCCTATTAGCGACTCGGGACGACGGTAACGGGCGGTCGATCACCGACGCGCGGTATGGATCGACGGCGGCGTTCCGGGTGCAAGCCGGCGGTCACGGCGACGACGGAAACGACGATCCGCGGCTAATTCTGTTCTGTTCAGGGCTAGAACAGGGGCTATGGTGGCTGAACAGGTGAGAGGGAGGTCCAAGGGTGCTGTGGCGACGGCTGGTGGGCGGCCAGCAGCTCCGGATGGTACTGTTCCGGCGTGAACAGTACCAGGACGTGCAGAATTGTGCACGGCAGAACAGAAATGGCGATGAAGAGAGGAAATGGGAGGGAGCTCTCGGCAGATCAGCAGAATGGAAGAGAGAGAGAGAGATTTCTGGTCAAATATCGGTCAAATTTGGTCTTAGTAGAGTCCAAGTGTCAAGATCTAGGCCAATTGGACAATTTTGCCCTTGATCCAAGGGCTATCCTTCCTTCTCATCCAATAATTTAGGGGTAAAATGGTCATTGATCCTTAACCCAAGCTGACCAGACCTGGTTTAGCCCTAACTCACCTTGGTTAGTCCCCTAATTAAATCCAAAATTCGGAATTACCAAAAATGGGTCCAAGGGCATTTTGGTAATTTTTCGGTCCCGGGTCAAAATTTCAATTTTCGCACATACGCGTTCCATATGTGCGTGGCCAACATAATATGGCGTCAGAATCACGAAAATTCACTTTTTAAATCCTCGAAAACTTACTGCAAAGTTTCGGGAATAAATAATATTATTTTTCCAATTTTTGTCAATATTCCACTTTTTGGCCAAAACCACTCTAAATGTGCGTGGCCACCCCAAAATGACATTGGCCGCGAAAAATAACCTCAAACGGCCTCCGAATCCGGCCTCGGTGCCCACAGGGGCAAAACCGTAATTTCTCACCCTCTTACCGAAATTCCAATTTTCTCTCGTACTAACCCCAAACGTGTGTGGCCAGCGTAATATGGCGTCAGATTCCCAAAAATAGTCTCTTAAGCCTTCGAAAATCGACCTCGAAATCCGGGCTCAATTCCGTGAACAAAACTCGCTAAACTTTCAATTTCAGGGTCTCTCACTAACGGGCAACTGTCTAGGAGTTACGCGTATCGACCTAGGGCTATCCATATCGTAATGGTCTCGATCATTGAGAGAATGAGAAATTATCATTAGTTTCAGAGGTCACGATCACTCGGTTCAAGTTCAAGACTGGTTGGCCACGTGTACTTTCGGTCTTGCAGAATCACCTGCGATCCGATGGTACATCGTTGGCCTTGGCCAAACCAGATCCGTTACCTTTCCTAAGATCGGTCCATACTGGTTCATAATATTCTCTCGTCATTTCTCGAGATCGGTGCCCAATTCACGATCGGGTCCCTGGTCCACGTACCATTTTCCTAGTTAGCCATACCACATTGGTTAGTATCCCGAGAGTGATCAGCTCTAGGCGAGACTTACTAAAATGAAATGCGAAATATTTTCAATTTATTAATCCCGAAATTACATCGAAATTCAGGCTGTTACAGGGCTATTCGCTTTATTCATGTGATTCCTTAAAGAGGAGGGTGGTTCACACCCGATCATGTTTTTTTTTTCCTTTTTCTTCCCTTTCTTTTTTTTTTAATTTGCTAAGCTGACATATTTGAATATTATCTTGTTTACACCAAAAATATCGGGTTGTCGACATGAGTAAACACATGCTTGATACATGAGCAAGAAGAGTCATGTGAATATCGTTACACATGACGTCTTGTCGACGACTATAGAGACTAGCGGTCGATACCGATGTACATCCATGGTACATATTCGGTTGTTGATATACGACGACGAGTAGATAGTAGCTGTTGATACAGATAGGCAAATAGCAAAATGCCAGTAAAATCATTCGAAAGCACAAAAAACATAAGGGTATAGTTGCTAGTGCAAGATGAAACAATTGGAAACATTAGAATGAACGTCTGGGATTCGCTAGAAGGGGCATAGAAGCATAAAACAAAGCCGATGGATCTGAAGAGGAATGGGCATGTATGCCTGGAGGGAACAGTTATCATTTGAAAATGAGATAGTGAGACATGTCATGGAGTGGCAAGATCGTGTGGCAGTTATTGTTGAGCCATTATCAGCCATCATTCAAGGATAAACATATGGGACGGCCTACAGGGAACAATCATCATTTGAAAATAAGATCACGAGACATGTCATGGGGCGGTAAGATCTTGAGGCTGAGTTATCAATGAGCAGTTATCAACCATCATTCAAGAACAAGCATGTGGGACGGTGGTGGGATCGTGATATAGCTAGTGCAAAGAAACCAACCATTCGAAAAAGTGGCATTAGGCGCTAGATTTTGAAGCCGAGAGGCGCAGAAGAAACCGCTTGAAACCACCTTAAAGCAGCTATCGTTATACAATTATAAATACCACCAGTCGTCCACTAAAAAGCTTCCCGCACAAATTAAACAAACTTATCATTATCTTTACTTTCTTACACTATACTTTACTTTCTTTACCTGTAGCATTCAAATTCGCATCGTTGATTAAATTCTGGCATGTATCTCTATCCTGGCCGCTTGGATGCTGCGTTATCGTTTAAATTCTAGCGTTGTCACGTTGTCAAGCTTTGTTGTCAATTAAATTCCAACAGGATTTGTCACCGTTTGGTTCGTTTGTACCAATTGTACTTTCCAAGTTTGGTCGTCAATTAAATTCCAGCAAGGCTTGTGCTTGTATAATTCTATTTGGAATAAAGCTGTCGAGTATTGTATTTTCCTGGATATTTCCTATCCCGAATCACCACAAGACCTGATCTCCTTCAATTCAAAGCCTAAGAACTATTTTCGGTGAAAGGTATTTCGTCACCGGAGCAATTCCGGTGAAACAAATCTAATATAAGATTAGACAACACTCCTTGTCGATGCACTTTATAAAAATGTTCATTGTTGTCTTTGAACTTGAAATAATTGAAAGACAATATTGAATATTTTCATATAGTCTAGGGACTACATTGACCAGATACCAGAAGTCTGAGACTACATTGAACGAGTTAAGAGTTCATGGACAACATTGCACATTAGAATAAAGTTCAGGGATCATATTGAATAAATAAAAAATTTAGGGACCATATTGCACATTATGCACAAATTCACGGATCATTTGTGTCATTATCCCTATCTAATACAAGATTAGACAACATTCCTCGTCAATGCATAAATTGATCTCCTTAGGGCTAGTCAACGATTGAGATAACTTAATGTGTAGATCCACCAGTCACTTGTTCATGAATTACTCGAACTTGGTTTGATTATTATCAAGTTAAAATCTTAGAAGATGACACGGCATCTTTATCGCGGTTGCACTATCGACAATGTCTTCCAACAGTCGAATGTAAATTCAAAAAAAAAAAAAAGATATTTCTCGAGTCTAGCTTGGAAACATTCTGAATGTGAAGTACACTTTTGCAAATACAATTTCGTTTGAATAAATGCCAATGAAAATTTGTGTGTGCAATTGGGCAATTTTCCTTTGATCTTTCAATTGGTCAATTTAGCAAACTGTGTCGCTTGTTTGCACTTACTTGCTAATGGGTTTGCAGATGTAATATATGGCAATTGGCTAGCAAGCCCATATGAAATTAGTGGGTCGATTAGGAAGAGAATGATCCAGCAACTCCAAGGTCTCAATGCTGTTGTCATTGATTCAACTTCAATTCTTGTTTCTGTTCATCGCGGATGAGCTTCATCATCTCACCAGGCACACCCCATCCCTTTGTGTATTTGTCTTCATTTCATGTTTTGAGTTTTCTTTTAAGACTTAACACTCCGCCATCATCTGACGACCCATGTACGACGCCGCTATATGTTTATTGCGGTCGTCTTTGAACAAATGGTAAGATATTGGGAAACCTTTCTGATTGTATGATCGCAACTCGATCCCGTGCTTATCGGAGCGGATTTTTCCAAATTGGGAACTTTTAAACTACCTATCTCTTAGCTCGGTGGTGCTCAACAGTGCAGTAACGGAACTTAGGACGACGATCACATTCTCATGCAATCCATCAAAAGGAACAGATGCCAAACTATTCCAAATCAAGCAATTCATTGATCAGCTCGTGGCCCGTCATTGTATCAAGACATACAATTTTCTTACGTATCAATGCAACAGAGCTACAAGGGCAAGAAAATTCTCACCAGCATACATAAAAGTAGGCAAGAATCAACGATGAGCTATTTTATTCCATGTCATGTCCGGCAGTGACTTAAGCCGTGTCCGGCAGTGACTTAAGCCGTGTCCTCCAAGAACGGATAATCGGAGTACCCAATCACCGGGTCCGATGTGTAGAACGTCTCTATATTATACTTATTCAAAGGTGCGTCCAACTCAAACCTCTTAGGCAAATCCGGATTGGCCAAGAATAAACGGCCGTAAGCAACAAGATCAGCACGGTTCTCGGCCACAGCACCGTTTCCATCTTCCCAGGTATAACCTCCGGCTACAATGAAAGTTCCCTTGAACAAGTTCCTCATCGGGACGAGACTGTGCGGACATTGGCTTATTTCGCCCACGGTCTCCATTCTCGGCTCAACCATGTGGCAGTAAAGGATCCCATACTTATTTAATTGTTCGACCATGTAGTTTCCTAGTGCTTTGGGGTTCGAGTCTCCTGCTTCCGAGTAGGTTGCAAAAGGGGAAAGCCTGATCCCGACTCTGTCTGCGCCTATTTCATTAACAATGGCCTCAACGATCTCGAGAGCGAAACGACACCGATTCTCCAGAGAACCTCCATACTGGTCTGTTCTGTCGTTTACCTGGTCTTTCATGAATTGTTCTATTAAGTAGCCATGAGCACCGTGTATTTCAACACCGTCAAAACCTATGTCGTGCATGCAAAATAGGCATCACTGAGATAGTATCATAAAGCAAGAGTTGGTATTTAACGGAAGCTTATATGATCCGACGTATGGGACAGCAATCACACACTTCTTAAATTGTTAGGCACCAAAATGTAGATTCTAAAGCCAAACTCAAACAATACAATATGTAAAACTGATGTGAAAAATTTTCCGCTAGTATTTCTACATAGTTTCCTTTTTGTCGTTACCAGCTACTTCATTTTTTCGCCACCTAGAGAAACATTGAGTGATTTCTTGTCATACTTTTGAACTTCTCTTGTGCCATTATATTCAGATCTGCTGAGGCTTTAGATATATGGAGATCATTGTCATGTGATTAAAACTTTCTTCGGTCTCTTATACAGCCCTTTCTTTTTCCTGGTCGTGCTCTTACACAGGTTCAGATGACAAAAACCACACCGTAATAACCAAACTCATCGTAGTAAAGCTCCCATTATTGACTTGAAAAAAGAAAACACAAAAAACGGAAAAGGATATACCAGCTTCCATTGCATTCCTTGCAGCAAGTCTAAAGTCATTGACAATGTTTGGAATTTCATCAGTCCTTAGTCGCCTTGGAGGCGTGAACTGACCAACATCAAAGCCATTACTTGGAAGTTGAGGAGTCAATGACTTGTCAGAGGATGAAATTGGAGCTTGCCCATTTGGCTGAAAACCTGCAGAGAAAATACAGATGCAATAAATAGAGAGATTATGTTAATTGCCACTGAGAAAAAAATTCCTGTTCCAGTATTATATACTGGCTTCATCTCATCTAGTCATTTTCTTTCAAGGAAAATCATCTATCCATCCAGAAGAATTCGACCTACATCACTTCTAAAACTGATAAGACTTGATATGTCATAAAAACTCATAGCCCCCATTCATTTTCACGAAGATGCACATAAAACCAGCAACAAAGCTCAAGCAGACAACATATCGTTTGCACAAAAGTATTGTCAGCAGGACTATGCAAACTTTTTTCTCCTCATTGTGTATAGACGTCATCACTTATCTTGCATGTCTAAAAGTTCTAAGCAGGGGTTCAAACTATTTCAGTTGAAAATCACAGCCAATTTGCATCAAGTTGAAAATCAAATTGAGCATTTCTTTTGCGCCAATTATTTAAAAACAATATTTATATAGGAAATGGAACACAAACAAACCTGCACTTGAGACCCTCCCCACATGCCTGATCTGACAAAAGAAGATACCACCTTTGGCATGAACAGCATCTACAATGGGTTTCCAAGCCTCGACTTGCTCTTTTGTCCATATGCCAGGTGTATCTGGATACCTAAAGAAACGGGTGCAGGAAGTTAAACTCGAGCTTGGGGAAGAAAGTTGAACCTCACATGCTTGGCAAAGTCTATTGGCTGTACAAGTGAGATTGGTTACCCTTGTGCAGTGTCAGAGACTCCTGTGGCTTCGGCAATGAGAAGGCCACCTTTAGAGGTTCTCTGGGAATAGTACAATATGGCGTGTGGCTGAGGAACATTCTTGTAAGATCTTTGTCTGGTCAAGGGTGCTAGAACAACTCTGAAAATACAAGTACCGCAAAGGCAGTTTATTAGATGATCTGTTTCTGCTTGAACTTTGTAATAGCTTCAGATAAAAAAAACATTAGATCCTTTGGCTATTCTAACAAATCAACAATGGTTTGCTAACCGTTTGCGCTACCAATAAAGCAACACCACTGAAGCACCTGCACTCAGTCATTATAGTTGGGGTATAACAACTCCCACTTATTGCCGAAAGCTTAGCAATTTGACGACTAGCTCTGTTTCAGCATGTCAAACCATTTAACAGTCTAAAGCAATGACCTTTCAGTTCAAGGGATGGTCCAACATATTCTAGGGTCCTAATGTTTAGCACATTCAGGCATGCTGCCTAAGAGTCGGGGTTCAAACCCCATCACCGGAAAAGCAAAAGAATACAGGACTGAGAGATTTAAGCACTAAGATGAAAAAAGCAAGTCGCTCTCTATAGTTTAACAAAATGGCTTCAGATAGTGTACAGGGAGTAAAGGGAAGAGGCGCTCTATGAAAACCAAAATTACAAAGACAACTATAAGAGAGTAAGATAAACTCAAAAAGGGTTTGGCAAGGCATGCGGCAACCAATCTTTCCATGTACTATGTATGAAAATAAAACCCGATTGACATACTAGAGTAAGGCTTGATCAGAGAAGCATGTGGGTTCGATATCACCCTTTACTACAGTAAATGCAGCCTATGCGCTAGGAAAGAATGAAGCAGCGGAATCATTAGCAAGTAAAACGACAGATAAATTGATCCATCATTCTCACACCCAGTCTAAGAGGAAAAATTACAAAAATGATTTATTTGCAGCATCAATAACATTCATTCAAACATTTAGGAGCTGTATGCTCATTTGATCACTGAAATGCATGCTCAAGTCACCTCGAATTTCCAAGTCTCTGTGACAGAGAATACATTTCATGTTGAACTTGTTCTAGCTGTCAAGAATTAGAACCTTGACAGCTAGAAAAATCACAATTTGAAACACCCCGTCAACTTCCCAGAACAAATTCCAATGTAAAGATCAAATGTTGACACGCCATAACAACAACAAAGCTTTCCCACTTAATGGGAAAGATCAATCAAGGGAACTCGAACCGAGTAAAACAGTAGATGGCATGAAGAGCAAGCACGAAACAAGATCGAATATGAAAGAGAAATTTTCAAAAACAAGAAGATGAGAACCTGTGGGAAAGATCGAATCTTCCCATTTTGTAGGGAGTGAGGAGAGGAGGGGTGGGCATTTCCTGGGCTGACATGTTGTGGGTGTTGCTGAATCTCTCTCTCTTTCTGTCGGTCGTGTCGTGAAGATGGTGTTCCTGAGCTTTGAGCTTCCACTTTTTCCCTCGACTAAAGAAGTTATGGTCGCAAATTGAGACAATCAGCATGTCGTTTGGACCCTTTTTATAGGAGCACCGCACCATGAAAGCATCCACGAAGAAGGTCCCACCACTCCCACTTTTGAGAGAGAGAGAGTCTGCATTCATTGACTGGGTTAATTCAATTTCGTCACGATGACACTGCCAAGATTACGTGAGCAGGTGCGTCGTTAAGGCTCGAAGTCAGGTCATGAGCAGACCGGTCCCAAATAAAGGGTGATTTGATTTAAAATAACGTCCCAACTCACCGATCGGCTAGAATTTTCGCAGTCAGACTGCTTTACCTTAGTCAACAACGTGGAAGCTTCACAGAAACTGCCGTGGGAACAGAGGGCCCTAATCTGCGAAGCTCGCGGGCTGCTTCTTTCTTTCTGTAATGTTAACCTCCAATATTGAAATAGAAATAGAAATAGAAATAGAAATAGAGTGACGGACTGGGTAGCGAAGGCCTACAGGAAAAAAAAGCTCTCTCAACACTGGTTGACTAGTCCTCCGCAGGTCCTCACTGAACTGCTTTGTTTTGAGACCCCGTTACTGGGTTCCTCTGTCTCTGGTTATCAATGAGAAGCCTTTAGTTCTGACCAAAAAAAAAAAAAAGTAAAGGCAATTTTATCCAAAATTTGCAGCTGGATGAAAATGGACAAAATATTCTCTGTGATTCGTGATCATTATATCATTTATTTTTTCACTTTAGGACATGAATTCAAACGTCACTTTAGAGCATTTATTCTTTCTTTCTTTTTCTTTTTTTGATCGGAAGGTATAACGACGCGGTTCGACGAGAGCATTATCATGATACGTGATCTTTTGAAAAAATGCCTATACGTATGTTGAAAGACACAACGCGAGATTCGATGTCGAACATATCAAAGCGGGAGAAATGTCGAACTTGTTAAATCTTGAGGATATCGCAAGAGGGGCATTAATTCAAACTTGGTACATTATTGACCCATTTTTTATGGTCAAAATGGGTACGAACGTAAAAAGTCCATTATTTCGTACGCAAGCAAACAAATTCAAAACGGAAGCCTCCCTCTTTTTATATTGAAAATATCAGGATTATCATGTATAACTTTGTTGCGATGGTTCTTAGTAATACAATATGTTATATGGACACATATATATATAGATATATAAATGGGTGAAAGCTACCAAAAAACCCTAAATTATATTCACTCTTGATACATTTACCCTAAAAAAATTTCTGTGACATCAAAAATCTCAAATTTATACCTGTGTGACACATTTACTTTCCGTTTATCAATAAGAACCGTTAAAAATCTACCTAGATGGACTTTAGAAAGCAAATAGTATTGACATGGTGCCCATTTGGCTTAAATAAAATAAAAACAATATTATTTTGACCGAAATGTCACATAGGTAGACATGGCCACGGTTCGGAACCGGCCGATTCCGGTTTGTGGCCATGTATAAACCGGAACCGAAACCGCCCCTGGCGGTTCCGGTTCCAGTTCCGGCCGGTAAAAATTTAAAAAATAAATTATGAAATAAAAAAATAATGAATTATAAAATTTTGAAATAATGAATTATTCAATATAAAATGTAATCAAAATATACATTGTAATCAAATTTGGGGAAAAAAAGAGTTTCTCCACTGATCTTTAGTTTTTTTTTTTGGAACCGTTTCCGAAACCGGCATTTCCGGGCCGGTTCCAAAATTGTTGGAACCGGAACCGGTTCCGAACCGCAGGCCCGGTTAATGGGCCGGTCCCGGGTTTGACCCCGGCCAAAACCGGCCCGTGGCCATGCCTACACATAGGTACAAGTTTGGGGTTTTTGATATTACAAAAAAAAAATAGATTAATATCACTAAAAAATCTAAAACTGATACTCTTGTGACAAATTTACCCTTCGTTAATTTCCGTTAAATTGGATTAATACCACGAAAAACCAAAAGCTCATGCACCTGTAAAAGACGAAGGGTAAAACCACATAACTAATATACCCATCATTGCCGCATATCATTCAACTAAGCAATTTGATGGTAAAATTTAACCAAACCAAGCAGAGGGTACATTTATTATCACAAATATGTCACGGTGGGTATAATTTGCAATTTTTTGTGGCTTTTTTCTCTATATAAAGCCATATAATGATGATGATGATAAAGACATCTAAAAATGGACAGGCGAGCAGACAATTGAGGATCTGGATGAGCTATTTTATTCCAAGTCATGTCCGGCAGTGACTTAAGCCTTGTCCTCCAGGAATGGATAATCGGAGTACCCAACCACCGGGTCCGATACGTAGAACGTCTCTCTATTATACTTATTCATAGGTGCGTCCAACTCAAACCTCTTAGGCAAATCCGGATTGGCCAAGAACAAACGGCCGTAAGCAACAAGATCAGCACGGTTCTCGGCCACAGCACCGTTTCCATCTTCCCGGGTATAACCTCCGGCTGCAATGAAAGTTCCCTTGAACAAGTTCCTCATCGGGACGAGACTGTGCGGACATTGGCTTATTTCGCCCACGGTCTTCATTCTCGGCTCAACCATGTGGCAGTAAAGGATCCCATACTTATTTAATTGTTCGACCATGTAGTTTCCTAGTGCTTTGGGGTTCGAGTCTCCTGCTTCCGAGTAGGTTGCAAAAGGGGAAAGCCTGATCCCGACTCTGTCTGCGCCTAATTCATTAACAATGGCCTCAACGATCTCGAGAGCGAAACGACACCGATTCTCCAGAGAACCTCCATACTGGTCCGTTCTGTCGTTTACCTGGTCTTTCATGAATTGTTCTATTAAGTAGCCATGAGCACCGTGTATTTCAACACCGTCAAAACCTATGTCGTGCACGCAAAATAGGCATCACTGAGTTAGTATCATAGAGCAAGAGTTGGTATTTAATGGAAGCTTATATGATCAGACGTATGGGACAGCAATCACACACTTCTTAAATTGTTAGGCACCAAAATGTAGATTCTAAAGCCAAATTCAACAATACAATATGTAAAACTGATGTGAAAAATTTTCCGCTAGTATTTCTACATAGTTTCCTTTTTGTCGTTACCAGCTACTTCATTTTTTCGCCGCCTAGAGAAACATTAAGTGATTTCTTGTCATACTTTTGAACTTCTCTTGTGCCATTATGTTCAGATCTGCTGAGGCTTTAGATATATGGAGATCATTGTCATGTGATTAAAACTTTCTTCGGTCTCTTATACAGCCCTTTCTTTTTCCTGGCCGTACTCTTACACAGGTTCAGATGACAAAAACCACACCGTAATAACCAAACTCATCGTAGTAAAGCTCCCATTATTGACTTCAAAAAAAAAAAACAGAAAACGGAAAAGGATATACCAGCTTCCATTGCATTCCTTGCAGCAAGTCTAAAGTCATTGACAATGTTTGGAATTTCATCAGTCCTTAGTCGCCTTGGAGGTGTGAACTGAGCAACATCAATGCCATTACTTCGAAGTTGAGGAGTCAATGGCTTGTCAGAGGATGAGATTGGAGCTTGCCCATTTGGCTGAAAACCTGCAGAGAAAATACAGATGCAATAAATAGAGAGATCATGCTAATTGCCACTTAGAAAAAAATTCCTGTTCCAGTATTATATACTGGCTTCATCTCATCTAGTCATTTTCTTTCAAGGAAAATCATCTATCCATCCAGAAGAATTCGACCTACATCACTTCTAAAACTGATAAGACTTGACATGTCATAAAAACTCATAGCCCCCATTCATTTTCACGAAGATGCACATAAAACCAGCAACAAAGCTCAAGCAGACAACATATCGTTTGCACAAAAGTATTGTCAGCAGGACTATGGAAACTTTTTTCTCCTCATTGTGTATAGACATCATCACTTATCTTGCATGTCTAAAAGTTCTAAGCAGGGGTTCAAACTATTTCAGTTGAAAATCACAGCCAATTTGCATCAAGTTGAAAATCAAATTGAGCATTTCTTTGGCGCCAATTATTTAAAAACAATATTTATATAGGAAATGGAACACAAACAGACCTGCATTTGAGACCCTCCCCACATGCCAGATCTGACAAAAGAAGATACCACCTTTGGCATGAACAGCATCTACAATGGGTTTCCAAGCCTCGACTTGCTCTTTTGTCCATATGCCAGGTGTATCTGGATACCTAAAGAAACAGGTGCCGGAAGTTAAACTCGAGCTTGGGGAAGAAAGCTGAACCTCACATGCTTGGCAAAGTCTATTGGCTGTACAAGTGAGATTGATTACCCTTGTGCAGTGTCAGAGACTCCTGTGGCTTCGGCAATGAGAAGGCCACCTTTAGAGGTTCTCTGGGAATAGTACAATATGGCGTGTGGCTGAGGAACATTCTTGTAAGATCTTTGTCTGGTCAAGGGTGCTAGAACAACTCTGAAAATACAAGTACCGCAAAGGCAGTTTATTAGATGATCTGTTTCTGCTTGAACTTTGGAATAGCTTCAAATAAAAAAAACATTAGATCCTTTGGCTATTCTAACAAATCAACAATGGTTTGCTAACCGTTTGCACTACCAATAAAGCAACACCACTGAAGCACCTGCACTCAGTCATCATAGTTGGGGTATAACAACTCCCACTTATTGCCGAAAGCTTAGCAATTTGACGACTAGCTCTGTTTCAGCATGTCAAACCATTTAACAGTCCAAAGCAATGACTTTTCAGTTTAAGGGATGGTCCAACATATTCTAGGGTCCTAATGTTTAGCACATTCAGGCATACTGCCTAAGAGTCGGGGTTCAAACCCCATCACCGGAAAAGCAAAAGAATACAGGACTGAGAGATTTAAGCACTAAGATGAAAAAGGCAAGTCGCTCTCTATAGTTTAACAAAATGGCTTCAGATAGTGTACAGGGAGTAAAGGGAAGAGGCGCTCTATGAAAACCAAAATTACAAGGACAACTATAAGAGAGTAAGATTAACTCAAAAAGGGTTTGGCAAGGCATGCGGCAACCAATCTTTCCATGTACTATGTATGAAAATAAAACCCGATTGACATACTAGAGTAAGGCTTGATCAGAGAAGCATATGGGTTCAATATCACCCGTTACTACAGTAAATGCAGCCTATGCGCTAGGAAAGAT